AGTGTATCGTGTGTAGTGTATCATGTATTATAGTGTAGTGTATAGTAGTGTAGTGTATTGTAATGTAGTGTATAATGTATTATATAGTGTAGTGTATAGTGTATAGTAGTGTAGTGTATTATATAGTGGTGTAGTGTAGTGTATTGTATAGTAGTGTATAGTGTATTATATAGTGTAGTGTATCATTTATTATATAACAGTGTAGTGTATAGTGTATTATATAGTAGTGTAGTGTATCATTTATTATATAGTAGTGTAGTGTACAGTGTATATAGTGTAGTGTATTATATAGTAGTGTAGTGTATAATGTATTATATAGTAGTGTAGTGTATCATGTATTATATAGTAGTGTAGTGTATAGTGTATATAGTGCAGTGTATTATATAGTAGTGTAGTGTATAATGTATTATATAGTAGTGTAGTGTATAGTGTATTGTATAGTAGTGTAGTGTATTGTATAGTAGTGGTGTATAATGTATTTTATAGTAGTGTATAATGTATTATATAGTAGTGTAGTGTATAATGTATTATACAGTAATGTAGTGTCTCATGTATTATATAGTAATGTAGTGTATAATGTATTATACAGTAGTTTAGTGTATAATGTATATAGTAGTGTAGTGTATAATGTATTATATAGTAGTGTAGTGTATAATGTATTATATAGTGTGTAGTGTATCATGTATTATATAGTGTAGTGTATAGTGTATTGTGTCGTGTGTAGTGTATAATGTATTATATAGTGTAGTGTATAGTGTATTATATAGTAGTGTAGTGTATAGTGTATTGTATAGTAGTGTAGTGTATAATGTATTATATAGTAGTGATGTATAATGTATTGTATAGTAGTGTAGTGTATACTGTATTATATAGTACTGTATAGTGTATTATATAGTTTAGTGTAGTGTATAATATATTATATAGTAGTGTATAGTGTATTATATAGTTTAGTGTAGTGTATAATGTATTATATAGTTTAGTGTAGTGTATGTTTTATATAGTAGTGTAGTGTATAGTGTATTGCATAGTAGTGTAGTGTATAGTGTATTGTATAGTAGTGTAGTGTATAGTGTATTGTATAGTAGTGTAGTGTATAATGTATTATATAGTAGTGTAGTGTATAATGTATTGTATAGTGTGTAGTGTATAATGTATTATATAGTAGTGTATAGTGTATTATATAGTAGTGTAGTGTATCATGCAGTGCAGGGGGTCCCCAACCCCCGGGCCTGTTAGGAACCGGGCCGCACAGCAGCAGCAGCACGAGGAGGTGAGAGTGGTGAAGTCCGATCACGTGGCCCGGCCCCCCGTTATTTTATTATTTACCACTTCCATCCGCGCCTCTTTCCCAGTGCACTGCGCACTCAGTCTCAGTCACGTGGTGTTGGTAAGCCCGCAAGCTGCTAACCCCCCAGTAGCCACGATGAGTCAAAGACAAACGTCGCTGGAGAGCTTCCTTTGAAAAGGGGGAAAGACCCAATGATGACTCCCCCCTCCTGGTCCGTGAACAAATTTATCTTCCACGAAACCGGTCCCTGGTGCCCAAAAAGGTTGGGGACCGCTGATTTTGTAGCGTATAGCGAAGTGTATAATAATATAGTGTAGTGTATTAGTTAGTAGATAGTAGTGTAGTTTATAGTGTGGTGTATAATAATGTGGCGTATAGGGTAGTGTATAGCATTGAGTAAAATAGCATAGTGCAAAATAGTGTATAATTGTGTAGTGTATAGTGTATTGTATATTAGAGGTGAATAGTGTAGTGTATAATAGTGTAGTGTATATTAGTGTCGTATATAGAGCAGTGTACGAGAGTGTCGTGTTTAATAGTGTAGCGTATAATAGTGGTGTATAATAGTGCAGTGTATTATAGCATCGTGTATAATACTGTCGTGTATAGTAAAAGGTGTAGAGTGTCGTGTATAATAGCGTAGTATATAGTGTAGTGCATAATAGCGTAGTGTATAATACCGTGGTACGTTATAGTGCTGTGTATAACAGTGTAGTGTATAATCGTGTAGTGTATAGTGCAGTGTATCATCATCACTGTAGTAGTAGTAGGTGCGTCCACTGCACGTTGCGTCATTTGTTGTTTCCACTGCCCTCTTCCCCGTCTTGCGGTGCCAACACGTCCAAGCAGTGACCACAAAACTTTCTGCCACCGATCTCCTGCGATGTCGTCGTCATTGTCAAGCCGTTCCCTGTAGAAGGTCTTCCATTCCCCCCACCCCCCACCCCCCCCCCCCCCCCCCCGAATAACATCAACAACTTTGAATCGCCGGTGTTGTTGTCCATCCCACAACAGGGACACCCCTCTACTTACGAACCTTCGACTTAGGAACTTTCAGAGACGCGAACAAACCTGCAACCGTATTGTTGAGTTGAGCGTTCGGACCGAGAGTCGTAAGTTCAACCCGCCGCAGAACAGATGGCGCTGGTGGCATCTACATCTGCAGAACGTGAAGAACCAGTAGCGTCTACATCTGCAGAACGTGAAGAACCAGTGGCATCTACATCTGCAGAACGTGAAGAACCAGTGGCATCTACATCTGCAGAACGTGAAGAACCAGTGGCATCTACATCTGCAGAACGTGAAGAACCAGTGGCATTTACATCTGCAGAATGTGAAGAACCAGTGGCATTTACATCTGCAGAACGTGAAGAACCAGTGGCATCTACATCTGCAGAACGTGAAGAACCAGTGGCATTTACATCTGCAGAATGTGAAGAACCAGTGGCATTTACATCTGCAGAAAGTGAAGAACCAGTGGCATCTACATCTACAGAACGTGAAGAACCAGTGGCATTTACATCTGCAGAACGTGAAGAACCAGTGGCATCTACATCTACAGAACGTGAAGAACCAGTGGCATTTACATCTGCAGAACGTGAAGAACCAGTGGCATTTACATCTACAGAACGTGAAGAACCAGTGGCATCTACATCTGCAGAACGTGACGAACCAGTGGCATTTACATCTGCAGAATGTGAAGAACCAGTAGCATTTACATCTGCAGAACGTGAAGAACCAGTGGCATTTACATCTACAGAACGTGAAGAACCAGTGGCATCTACATCTGCAGAACGTGAAGAACCAGTGGCATCTACATCTGCAGAACGTGAAGAACCAGTGGCATTTACATCTGCAGAATGTGAAGAACCAGTAGCATTTACATCTGCAGAACGTGAAGAACCAGTGGCATTTACATCTACAGAACGTGAAGAACCAGTGGCATCTACATCTGCAGAACGTGAAGAACCAGTGGCATTTACATCTACAGAACGTGAAGAACCAGTGGCATTTACATCTACAGAACGTGAAGAACCAGTGGCATTTACATCTACAGAACGTGAAGAACCAGTGGCATTTACATCTGCAGAACGTAAAGAACCAATGGCATCTACATCTGCAGAACGTGAAGAACCAGTGGCATCTACATCTGCAGAACACGAAGAACCAGTGGCATCTACATCTGCAGAACGTGAAGAACCAGTGGCATCTACATCTGCAGAACGTGAAGAACCAGTGGCATCTACATCTAGAGGAGATTTTACAACTTTTAACGACATTCCCCTGCGTTTAGTGTACACGCCGTACAACACGTTAGGAATCGACAGGATCGACTTACGAACACAGACCTCTGGAACCTAACTCGTTCGTAAAGTAGAGAAGTCCCTGTATGTGTGTGTGTCCAAATCGCTCCAGTTTCCTTCTCGTCACCGCCCGCGTGCATGCAACATCATCACCATCATCATCAGGTCGTTTTCTTCTTCTACGTTGCAACCTCTTTCTTACCCCGACGTCGATTAACTCTTTGGGTCCAGCTCAGATGCGGCAGCAATCCTTCCGCGGCAATGACGCTCCGAGCGGCGACATCCTTATCGCCGCCCGTCTGTTGCAACGTCCAAGTCACGCAGGCGTACACAGCTGCTGCTGAACGTTCCTAAGACGTTCGCTTTGGTCTCGTAGCCGACTTGCTCGCTTCTCCAGCTGCGGGAGAATCCTGCGGCCCGCCCCCTTTCGCCTCCGAGATCGTCGCTGCTCCCGTTGCCCCAACGTCAGCGTGGAATTTGGGAGAACCGCTCTTCTCTGACGTGGACGCTTATGGTCCACGCACCACAGAACGGTGAGCAGAAGCGGCCATCACAGAGCTACTTCCGAGATGGCTTTCTTCTTCAAGTGAGCGCTCTGGTCCACGCGGAACGGCCCGCGGAATGGCCCGCGGAAGCGTATATCGCAGAGCTGTGTCTGAGATGGCTCCTTCTAAAAGTGCCGCTCTGGTGCACGAAGAACGGCCCACAGAAGCGGACGTCACAGAGCTACGTCTGAGATGGCTCCTTCCAAAAGCGACGCTCTGGTCCACGCGGAACGGCCCGCAGAAGCGGACATCACAGAGCTGCCTCCGAGATCCATCCATCTTCGTCTTCAAACCGCCGCCTCCGATCCACACAGCCAGGAGAGGGCAGCACCTCCTGACCCGCTCTGCCGAATCCCGTCTCGCGCGGCGGGAGAGCCCGACGCTCTCATGTTTTTTCATCCTCAGGAGGAGTTCAGCCAAATTTGAGCGCGGAACCGAAATTGCCCGCGGTCGTCGCTGTTCCATTGCAGTCAGTGGTGACCGGCCTGAGACATCCAACTCACGACACCTGAGAACCCGGTTTAATCACAGCTTTAGTGCGAGTCTATGGGTCTCTGTGCGAGCCTATGGGTCTCTGCATGAGTCTATGGGTCTCTGCATGAGTTTATGGGTCTCTGCGTGAGTTTATGGGTCTCTGCGTGAGTCTATGGGTCTCTGTGCGAGTCTATGGGTCTCTGTGCGAGTCTGTCTCTTTGTGCGAGTCTATGGGTCTCTGCATAAGTTTATGGGTCTCTGCGTGAGTCTATGGGTATCTGCGTGAGTCTATGGGTCTCTACGTGAGTCTATGGGTTTATGCGTGAGTCTATGGCTCTCTGTGCGAATCAATGGCTCTCTGCGTGAGTCTATGGGTCTCTGTGCGAGTCCATGGCTCTCTGTGCAAGTCTACGGCTCTCTGTGTGAGCCACCACCGCCACCGCCAAAACGGCCGCCACCACCACCACCACCGAAGGCCGATCGACGCAGGACAATGAACTCCACCCTCAGCGCTCCCTGGCAGTGAGAGCGGTGGGGGGGGGGGGGTCTTCGCCTCCGTGACGTCACACGTCACAAGTCGCACGACGTCACACGTAGATGCCATCCGGGTTGGCGTAGTGGGGGTTCTGGAGGGCCCGGGGATTCGAGGGGAGGGGCCGTGCGGGCGGAGGGCGTCGCGGGGGCTCCGTCGCGTCGCCTGCGGGAGTTGGGGGGGGCAGGGGGGGGGCGGGGGGGGGCGGGAGACACAAAGGCAGAGATGGCGCTCCCCCCCCATGTCAGATGCCGGGGGGGGGGGGCACGAAGGGTGGGAAGCTTCGCGAGCCGGGACTACGACCGCAGCGGTGCCCCCCACTTCTCCCTCCTGACTCCGCCCCCCCCCCCTTTGTCTCCCCAATACAGCAATGCAGCATTCACTTGTTCAGCCCCCCAGCTTACTGTTGCCCCTCCCGCACCACCCACCCACCCAGGCTACGACCGGGCCTATCCCAACCCGGCCTTGTCAATGCCTCTTTGTTTTACTCTCATCGGAAGTACACCGCCACCACCGCCACCACCGCCACCACCGCCACCACCGCCACCATCACCTCCGCCTGCCACCCTGTGCCACCCTCCTGCCACCCACGTGCCTACCTGCATGATTGTCACTGGCGTCGGCTGGCAGGGTGGACACCTTGACGCCCGTCTGCAGGATGAAGTGTTGCAGGTTCACCTGGCGCAGCTCCTTGTTCAGCAGCTCCAGCTCCTGCTCCTTTTCCTGCGGGAGCGAGGGGGCACAGCGGGCGCGGTGGGCGAGGGCACGGAGGGCGAGGGCACGGAGGGCGAGGGCACAGAGGGCGAGGGCATGGTGGGCAAGAGAGACGATGAGTGGGCGAGTCGAGTCGAGTTGATTTTGTCGAGCGACGTGAGACGCCTGGGGCACCCGGGTACCGCCGCATACCTGGGGACCCCCCCCCCCCTGCCCCCCACGTACCTGCATGCACTTGTTGGCCTCCTGCATGGACGCCTCCACCGCCCTCAGGGCCCCCTCCAGCCTCCGCGCCTCCTGGATGCGCGCCGAAATCCTGCGGTGGAGACGTGCGATCTCCGCTCCCAGCACCGCGCCCTCCCCCTCCTCTCCCTCCCCCTCCTCCTCTCCCTCCTCCCCCTCCCCCTCCTCCCCCCCATCCCCCTCCTCCTCCTCCTCGCTGCCAGCCGGGACACCGGCGCCACCGCCCAAGCCCGTTCGGTTCCCTCCAGCCGCGTTCGCTCCGGACGCTCCGTTGGAAACCGCGGAAACTTCCGGGTCGTCGCCGACGACGACGACGCCGCCGCCGCCGTCGCCGCCATCGACGTCGTCGTCGTCGTCGTCGTCGTCACGGCGACGCCGCCGACGCCGCCGTTGCCGCTCGTGCCGGATGCGGGCTCGCAGGAGGCCGGCCCGGTCGGCGCAGGCCGCCAGCCGGCGCTCGCACTCCAGCGCCCCCTCCGTGACGGCGGAGAGACCCGCGAGGAGCGACCTCTCCCTCTCCCCCTCCCCCTCCTCCACCCCCTCCACCCCCCCCACCTCCTCCTCCGCCTCGTCGATCTCCCGCGAGATTCGAGCGATCTGCTCCTCCAGCTGCCTCGCCGCTCGGTCGTCGCCCTGCTCCTCCTCCGCCTCCTCCTCCTCCTCCGCCTCTGCCTCCTCCTCCTCCTCCGCCTCCGCCTCCTCGCCGTCCTCCTCCCCCGGGGGTCGAGGCTCCGGGTCGGGCCGCGGCAAGTGCCGGGCGCCGCCGCGGCCTCGCGACGCCGCCGCTCCCTCCGAGCCGGCGTCGCCCACGCGCCGCTCCCGCCGAGCGTCGGCCATCGTCGCCCTTCCATCCTCCTCGTCGGCGGGGTTGCCCACGAACGCCAACCGAGCGTCGCCCTCGCCTCCTGATTGTCCACCTCCTGCTCCTCCTGCTGCTCCTCCTCCACCATCGCCTCCCGCGAGTTTCCGCTCCCAGAGGCGGACGTCCGAGCTCACGGCCTCGATCCGCGCCTCCAGCGCCGCCACCGTCCGCTGCTGCAGCTGCGTCAGCCTCAGCAGCTTCACCTCCTCCTCCTCTTCCTCCTCCTCCTCCTCCTCCTCCTCCGACTCCTTCCCGCCCCGCCGCTGCCGCTGGCACCGCCGCTGCTCCCCCTGCGAGGCTGCGGTGAAACCCGCGGTGAACCCCGGGGTTAAACCCGCGGTGAACCCCGGGGTGAAACCCGCGGTGAACCCCGGGGTGAAATCCGCGGTGAACCCCGGGGTTAAACCCGCGGTGAACCCCGGGGTGAAATCCGCGGTGAACCCCGGGGTGAACCCCGCGGCACCGCCAGTGAAGGTGAGCGACTTGCGCTTCCCCTGGCCGCGCGCCGAGCGGCGGAGGAAGGCCCCGTCGGCACGCCCGCACTCGGCCTCATCCCTCTCGCTCCGGCGCTCTCCTCCTCCTCCTCCACCTCCTCCTCCACCTCCTCCTCCTCTTCCCCTGTCGTCCCCGGCCTCCTCCCCCTCTTCGTTGCCGTTCCTCCTCTCCGGCGGGGCGCGCTCCTTCAGTCCCCCACCGCAGCGTCCGTCACGATTTCCGCCCCAAACCCTTTGGAGATCGTCACCGCCACCTCCTCCTCCTCCTCCTCCTCCTCCTCGTCCTCCTCCTCTTCCTGATCCTCCTCCTGCTGCTCCCGCGCTTGCCGCGGCCCGCGACAAGACGGTCAGCGGCCCCCTCCCGCGGCCCTCCCCGACGGCCGACGTCTCCCGCGGGCACCGGAGGTTCGCGCGGTCGCCTCGGGCCTCCCCGCCGCAGCCGCTCGCCGACCGCTCCGCCTCCTCCTCCTCCTCCCCCACCTCCTCCTCCACCTCCTCCGCCTCCTCCTCTTCCGCCGCCGCCGCCGCGTTGGCGACGCGGCGTCCCCGCTCCCACGTCGACGACGTCGGCGACGGCGGCGACGGCCGGAACTTGGCCCGGGGCGGGAGGCTTTGCCTGCAGAAGAAGGCCCGCTCGGGGGGGGGCCTCCTCGCCGCCGCGGGGACGTAGCCGGCGCCGTCGGAGGTGGGGCGCTCGCCCAGGCTGGGCCCCGTGCGCCGCAGGACCAGCGTCACGTCGCCCGCGTACTGGCCCCAGCGGGCGAGGGCGGCGAGCGGGCGCTCGTCGGGAGCCAGAGCCCGCTCGGAGCCCTTCCACCGCTCCACGAGGGCGTAGCGGCCGGCGCGGCCTGCAGCCGCCCACGGGGCGGAGAGAGTGGGGGAGGAGCGGGGAGAGGAGATGCACCGATGACCGGGACTCACCCATTATTGACCAGAGAGACTCACCGATTATTGACCAGTGAGACTCACCAATTATTGACCAGGCAGACTCAGCGATAACCGGGACTCACCGATTATTGAGCAGTGAGACTCACGATTATTGACCAGACAGACTCAGCGATAACCGGGACTCACCGATTATTGACCAGAGAGACTCACCGATAACGACCGAGACTCACCCATTATTGACCAGTGAGACTCACCGATTATTGACCAGAGAGACTCACCGATAATGACCGAGACTCACCCATTATTGACCAGTGAGACTCACCGATTATTGACCAGAGAGACTCACCGATTATTGACCAGAGAGACTCACCGATTATTGACCAGTGAGACTCACCGATTATTGACCAGAGAGACTCACCGATTATTGACCAGAGAGACTCACCGATTATTGACCAGTGAGACTCACCGATTATTGACAAGAGAGACTCACCGATTATTGACCAGTGAGACTCACTGATAAACGGGACTCACCGATTATTGAGCAGTGAGACTCACCGATTATTAACTAGAGAGACTCACAGAATATTGACCAGTGAGACTCACCGATCATTGACCAGTGAGACTCACTGATTATTGACCAGAGAGACTCACCAATTATTAACCAGTGAGACTCACCGATTATTAACCAGAGAGACTCACCGATAACCGGGACTCACCGATTATTGACCAGAGAGACTCACCGATTATTGACCAGAGAGACTCACCGATTATTGACCAGTAAGTCTCACCGATTATTGACCAGTGAGACTCACCGATTATTGACCAGTAAGACTCACCGATAACCGGGCCTCACCGATTATTAACCAGTGAGACTCACCAATTACTAACCAGAGAGACTCACCGATAACCGGGACTCACCGATTATTGACCAGTGAGACTCATCGATTATTGACCAGTAAGACTCACCGATAACCGGGACTCACCGATTATTAACCAGTGAGTCTCACTGATTATGGACCAGTGAGACTCACCAATTGTTGACCAGTGAGACTCACCGATTATTGACCAGGGAGACTCACCGATTATTGACCAGGGAGACTCACCGATTATTGACCAGTGAGACTCACCGATTATTGAGCAGTTAGACTCACCGATTATTGACCAGAGAGACTCACCGATTATTGACCAGAGAGACTCACCGATTATTGACCAGTGAGACTCACCGATTATTGACCAGGGAGACCCACCGATTATTGACCAGGGAGACTCACCGATTATTGACCAGGGAAACTCACCGATTATTAACCAGAGAGACTCACTGATAACCGGGACTCACCGATTATTAACCAGTGAGACTCACAGATTATTGACCAGTAAGACTCACCCATAACCGGGACTCACCGATTATTAACCAGTGAGACCCACCGATTATTGACCAGTAAGACTCACCGATAACCGGGACTCACCGATTATTAACCAGTGAGACTCACAGATTATTGACCAGAAAGACTCATAGATAACCGGGACTCACCGATTATTAACCAGTGAGACTCACCGATTATTGACCATAGAGACTCACCGATAACCGGGACTCACCGATTATTGACCAGAGAGACTCACCGATTATTGACCAGGGAGACTCACCGATTATTGACCAGTGAGACTCACCAATTATTGACCAGTGAGACTCACCGATTATTGACCAGTGAGACTCACTGATTATGGACCAGTGAGACTCACCGATTATTGACCAGTGAGACTCAGCGATAACCGGGACTCACCGATTATTGACCAGGGAGACTCACAGATTATTGACCAGTGAGACTCACCGATTATGAACCAGTGAGACTCACCGATTATGGACCAGGGAGACTCACTGATTATTGACCAGTGAGACTCACCGATTATTGACCAGTGAGACTCACAGATTATTGACCAGGCAGACTCACCGATTATTGACCAGTGAGACTCACCGATTATGGACCAGGGAGACTCACCGATTATTGACCAGGGAGACTCACCGATTATTGACCAGGCAGACTCACCGATTATTGACCAGTGAGACTCACCGATTATGGACCAGGGAGACTCACCGATTATTGACCAGTGAGACTCACTGATTATTGACCAGTGAGACTCACCGATTATGGACCAGGGAGACTCACCGATTATTGACCAGGGAGACTCACCGATTATTGACCAGTGAGACTCACCGATTATGGACCAGTGAGACTCACTGATTATTGACCAGTGAGACTCACCGATTATGGACCAGGGAGACTCACCGATTATTGACCAGGGAGACTCACCGATTATTGACCAGTGAGACTCACCGATTATTGACCAGGGAGACTCACCGATTATTGACCAGTGAGACTCAATGATTATTGACCAGTGAGACTCACCGATTATGGACCAGGGAGACTCACCGATTATTGACCAGGGAGACTCACCGATTATTGACCAGGGAGACTCACCGATTATTGACCAGGGAGACTCACCGATTATGGACCAGGGAGACTCACCGATTATGGACCAGGGAGACTCACCGATTATGGACCAGGGAGACTCACCGATAACCGGGACTCACCGATTATTAACCAGTGAGTCTCACCGATTATGGACCAGTGAGACTCACCAATTGTTGACCAGTGAGACTCACCGATTATTGACCAGGGAGACTCACCGATTATTGACCAGGGAGACTCACCGATTATTGACCAGTGAGACTCACCGATTATTGAGCAGTTAGACTCACCGATTATTGACCAGAGAGACTCACCGATTATTGACCAGAGAGACTCACCGATTATTGACCAGTGAGACTCACCGATTATTGACCAGGGAGACCCACCGATTATGGACCAGGGAGACTCACCGATTATTGACCAGGGAAACTCACCGATTATTAACCAGAGAGACTCACTGATAACCGGGACTCACCGATTATTAACCAGTGAGACTCACAGATTATTGACCAGTAAGACTCACCCATAACCGGGACTCACCGATTATTAACCAGTGAGACCCACCGATTATTGACCAGTAAGACTCACCGATAACCGGGACTCACCGATTATTAACCAGTGAGACTCACAGATTATTGACCAGAAAGACTCATAGATAACCGGGACTCACCGATTATTAACCAGTGAGACTCACCGATTATTGACCATAGAGACTCACCGATAACCGGGACTCACCGATTATTGACCAGAGAGACTCACCGATTATTGACCAGGGAGACTCACCGATTATTGACCAGTGAGACTCACCAATTATTGACCAGTGAGACTCACCGATTATTGACCAGTGAGACTCACTGATTATGGACCAGTGAGACTCACCAATTATTGACCAGTGAGACTCAGCGATAACCAGGACTCACTGATTATTGACCAGGGAGACTCACAGATTATTGACCAGTGAGACTCACCGATTATGAACCAGTGAGACTCACCGATTATGGACCAGGGAGACTCACCGATTATTGACCAGTGAGACTCACTGATTATTGACCAGTGAGACTCACCGATTATTGACCAGTGAGACTCACAGATTATTGACCAGGCAGACTCACCGATTATTGACCAGTGAGACTCACCGATTATGGACCAGGGAGACTCACCGATTATTGACCAGGGAGACTCACCGATTATTGACCAGGCAGACTCACCGATTATTGACCAGTGAGACTCACCGATTATGGACCAGGGAGACTCACCGATTATTGACCGGTGAGACTCACTGATTATTGACCAGTGAGACTCACCGATTATGGACCAGGGAGACTCACCGATTATTGACCAGGGAGACTCACCGATTATTGACCAGTGAGACTCACCGATTATGGACCACGGAGACTCACCGATTATTGACCAGTGAGACTCACTGATTATTGACCAGTGAGACTCACCGATTATGGACCAGGGAGACTCACCGATTATTGACCAGGGAGACTCACCGATTATTGACCAGTGAGACTCACCGATTATTGACCAGGGAGACTCACCGATTATTGACCAGTGAGACTCACCGATTATGGACCAGGGAGACTCACCGATTATTGACCAGGGAGACTCACCGATTATTGACCAGGCAGACTCACCGATTATTGACCAGTGAGACTCACCGATTATGGACCAGGGAGACTCACCGATTATTGACCAGTGAGACTCACTGATTATTGACCAGTGAGACTCACCGATTATGGACCAGGGAGACTCACCGATTATTGACCAGGGAGACTCACCGATTATTGACCAGTGAGACTCACCGATTATGGACCAGTGAGACTCACTGATTATTGACCAGTGAGACTCACCGATTATGGACCAGGGAGACTCACCGATTATTGACCAGGGAGACTCACCGATTATTGACCAGTGAGACTCACCGATTATTGACCAGGGAGACTCACCGATTATTGACCAGTGAGACTCACTGATTATTGACCAGTGAGACTCACCGATTATGGACCAGGGAGACTCACCGATTATTGACCAGGGAGACTCACCGATTATTGACCAGGGAGACTCACCGATTATTGACCAGGGAGACTCACCGATTATGGACCAGGGAGACTCACCGATTATGGACCAGGGAGACTCACCGATTATGGACCAGGGAGACTCACCGATAACCGGGACTCACCGATTATTAACCAGTGAGTCTCACCGATTATGGACCAGTGAGACTCACCAATTGTTGACCAGTGAGACTCACCGATTATTGACCAGGGAGACTCACCGATTATTGACCAGGGAGACTCACCGATTATTGACCAGTGAGACTCACCGATTATTGAGCAGTTAGACTCACCGATTATTGACCAGAGAGACTCACCGATTATTGACCAGAGAGACTCACCGATTATTGACCAGTGAGACTCACCGATTATTGACCAGGGAGACCCACCGATTATTGACCAGGGAGACTCACCGATTATTGACCAGGGAAACTCACCGATTATTAACCAGAGAGACTCACTGATAACCGGGACTCACCGATTATTAACCAGTGAGACTCACAGATTATTGACCAGTAAGACTCACCCATAACCGGGACTCACCGATTATTAACCAGTGAGACCCACCGATTATTGACCAGTAAGACTCACCGATAACCGGGACTCACCGATTATTAACCAGTGAGACTCACAGATTATTGACCAGAAAGACTCATAGATAACCGGGACTCACCGATTATTAACCAGTGAGACTCACCGATTATTGACCATAGAGACTCACCGATAACCGGGACTCACCGATTATTGACCAGAGAGACTCACCGATTATTGACCAGGGAGACTCACCGATTATTGACCAGTGAGACTCACCAATTATTGACCAGTGAGACTCACCGATTATTGACCAGTGAGACTCACTGATTATGGACCAGTGAGACTCACCAATTATTGACCAGTGAGACTCAGCGATAACCAGGACTCACTGATTATTGACCAGGGAGACTCACAGATTATTGACCAGTGAGACTCACCGATTATGAACCAGTGAGACTCACCGATTATGGACCAGGGAGACTCACCGATTATTGACCAGTGAGACTCACTGATTATTGACCAGTGAGACTCACCGATTATTGACCAGTGAGACTCACAGATTATTGACCAGGCAGACTCACCGATTATTGACCAGTGAGACTCACCGATTATGGACCAGGGAGACTCACCGATTATTGACCAGGGAGACTCACCGATTATTGACCAGGCAGACTCACCGATTATTGACCAGTGAGACTCACCGATTATGGACCAGGGAGACTCACCGATTATTGACCAGTGAGACTCACTGATTATTGACCAGTGAGACTCACCGATTATGGACCAGGGAGACTCACCGATTATTGACCAGGGAGACTCACCGATTATTGACCAGTGAGACTCACCGATTATGGACCACGGAGACTCACCGATTATTGACCAGTGAGACTCACTGATTATTGACCAGTGAGACTCACCGATTATGGACCAGGGAGACTCACCGATTATTGACCAGGGAGACTCACCGATTATTGACCAGTGAGACTCACCGATTATTGACCAGGGAGACTCACCGATTATTGACCAGTGAGACTCACTGATTATTGACCAGTGAGACTCACCGATTATGGACCAGGGAGACTCACCGATTATTGACCAGGGAGACTCACCGATTATTGACCAGGGAGACTCACCGATTATTGACCAGGGAGATCCCACCGAGGACGACCGAGGAAACTCACCGATGGCCTGAGCCAGCACGATGACCACCTCCTGGCAGGTGGTGGTGCCTCCCACCCCACACACCACGCGCTGCAGGCCGTCCACCCACACCTTGAGCTCCATGGCCGGATCCCCACCGGTGGGAGCTGACGGTGGGAGCTGACGGTGTTCTCGTCGCTTGCCTCCTGCCACCGGCTCGGCGACGCCGAGGACGACGGCGTTGGTGACGGAACTGATGACGTTGGCGATGTTGTTAACGACGTTGGCGATGTTGATGATGTCGATGTCGAAGCTGCAGCCACCCACGGCTCTGCCGACGAACCGGACGATGCTGCCGGTGCCGGTGGTGGTGGTGGTGGTGGCGCTGGTGGTGCCCGGTGGTGGTGGTGGTGGCTCTAGTGCCCGGTGGTGGTGCCCGGTGGTGGTGGTGGTGGTGGTGCCGGTGGCAGTGAGGAGGAGGTCACCTGACCACTCGGTGGACGGTGCACGCCGGACGCCGCTCCCACGCGCCTCACCCCCCGGCGCCGAACGCTCGCGGCTCCACCAGCGCCAACGCCGTCGCCGTCATCGCAGCCAGCTGCGGTGCCACCGTCATCATCATCATCGTCGTTAACATCGTCATCATCATCATTGTCATTGACATCGTCGTCATCATTGTCATTAACATCGTCATCATCATCATTGTCATTAACATCGTCATCATCATCGTCATTGACATCGTCATCATCATCGTCATTAACATCGTCATTATCATTGTCATTAACATCGTTATCATTGTCATTGACATCGTCATCATCGTCGTCATTAACATCGTCATCGTCATTAACATCGTCATCATCATCGTCATTAACATCGTCATCATCATTGTCATCATCATTGTCGTTAACATCGTCATCATCATTAACATCGTCATCATCATCGTCGTCATTAACATCGTCATCATCATTGTCATTAACATCGTCATCATCATCGTCATTAACATCGTCATCGTCATTAACATCGTCATCATCATTGTCATCATCATTGTCGTTAACATCGTCATCATCATTGTCGTTAACATTGTCATCATCATTGTCATTAACATCGTCATCATCATTGTCATTAACATCGTCATCACCATCGTCATTAACATCGTCATCACCATCGTCACCACCATCGTCATTACCATCGTCGTCACCATCATCGTCATCGCCACGGTCATCACCATCAACATCGTCACCATCATCATCATAGCCACCGTCATCGCCATCATCGTCGTCAACGCCGTCGTCATCATCACAACCCGTCATCGTCACGATCGTCACCGTCAATGCCACCGTCACCGCCATCATCACCACCATCACCACCATCGCCAGCATCTCGCGCGAGGTTCAATCTGGCGAGCGAAGCTTGCGGGCATCTGCGCGGAGGATCCTACCGAGGGCGTTACTACTCCGCACGCCCGATAAGGATAAGTTCTACCCGTTCTGGCTATGAAACAGGAACTCGTGCCGAGACGTTCAGAACTCCAAACTGAACCCTCCTGCATTCACCACGCACAAGAGCACTTGTGGTGAACACTGCAAACGAACACCGCTCCTTCATCACGGGACCCCTCCGTCGCCAGGAACAAAAACATGACAACAGGTTTCATACCGTGACCGCAAGGATTCGTCTTCTTCGGTTCTTACGGTAAAGTCACCACGTAGAATGAGAATCAAATAATAAAATAACGCGGTAAAATTCTCACGACGTTTCGGCCACCAACGTAAGCTTGCGTTCTTTATTTTTCTACGTGACTTTACCGAGTACAACCAAAGCGTTTGGATCCTTGCAGTCACCAAAGCTTTAAATCGAGAAGAGGTTTTCCGCATTTTTTTTCTGGCAACGAAAACAGCTGCGTCAAGATGTTAAAACACCAAATTGAAAATTATATTGCGAGGAATCGTGTTGCTGCGTTAACCGCAATGATTGTGGTCAGAATGCAAACAATCTTTGTTTGCATTCTGAACAGAGATTGTTTGCATTCTGAACACAAGTATCTCTACCCGTGTCTCTCTCTCGCTCTCTCTCTCTCTCGCTCTCTCTCTACCCGTGTCTCTCTCTCCCTCTGCCCGTGTCTCTCTCTCTCTCTCTACCCGTGTCTCTCTCTCGCTCTCTCTCTACCCGTGTCTCTCTCTCCCTCTCTCTGCCCGTATCTTTCTCTCGACAGGAAGCTAAAACGAGCCTGAAGCAAAACCAGTGTCACCTTTTGCTCCTCTGTAAATCGTCCCACCCTGAGCAGGCAAAGTTCCCTTGACCCCAATTCCGAAGATTTGGCTCAACAACTCCCTCCATCCCCTCCTCCTCCACCACCTCCTCCTCCACCCCCTCCTCCTCCGCCACCCCCTCCTCCTCCACCCCCTCCTCCTCCACCCCCTCCTCCTCCTCCTCCACCCCCTCCTCCTCCACCTCCTCCTCCTCCACCCCCCTCCTCCTCCACCCCCTCCTCCTCCTCCTCCACCCCCTCCTCCTCCACCCCCTCCTCCACCCCCTCCTCCTCCTCCTCCACCCCCTCCTCCTCCTCCACCACCTCCTCCTCCACCTCCCTCCTCCTCCACCGCCTCCTCCTCCACCCCCTCCTCCTCCACCTCCTCCACCCCCTCCTCCTCCACCCCCTCCTCCTCCACCCTCTCCTCCTCATCCTTCTCCACGCCCTCCTCCTCCACCCCCTCCTCCTCCACCCCTCCTCCACCCCCTCCTCCTCCACCCCCTCCTCCTCCGCCACCCCCTCCTCCTCCACCCCCTCCTCCTCCACCCCCTCCTCCTCATCCTCCTCCACCCCCTCCTCCTCCACCCCCTCCTCCTCCACCCCTCCTCCACCCCCTCCTCCTCCTCCACCCCCTCCTCCTCCTCCTCCTCCACCCCCTCCTCCTCCTCCACCCCCTCCTCCACCTCCTCCTCCCAGGTGCTGTGGCTCCCTACCTCTCTCCGTGCGTACTGTGCACCCCCCCACCTCACCCCCCCACCTCACCCCCCCCCATCCCCCATCCCCCCTCACCCCACAGCGTCTAAGAGGCTTAAGGAAGCGGCGGTGGCGGGGGGTGGCGGGGGGTGGCGGGGGGTGGGGGGGGGGGCACCTCCGGCTTAGCATCTCGAGAGATTAAATGACGGGAAGCACGAAGTGCCCCAGGTCGACGTGGCCCTCAAAGGCTTGGGACACATCCCTGCAGACGGTGCTGGATCTGAAATCGCTGCCGTCCTCGGAAAACGCCAGGAAACCACCCACCAGCAACGTCGGCAAGCGACGAGCGTGTTTAACTCTCTCCATTTAAAAAAAAAAAAAACAGAGTTGACATTGTCATCCTCTCTCTCAGCCGACAAGGGCAATGCCACTGTCATCACGGATAAAACCACTTGCGACAACAAAATTCAGGACCTTCTTAATGATGGCGGCTATGCCAAAATCAACGGAGATCCCACCAACCGCCTAGCCACTGAAACCAACAATATCATCGCTAAATGGAATTCTCCAATCGATCAGACCAAGCAGAGCTCCCTGAAACCTTCGGCCGCTAGACCACCCAGATTTTATGGCCTTCTACAGGTCCACGAAGGTGGTACCCCGCTCCGTCCTATCGTCTCCACCATTAACTCGCCCACCTACAAACTGGACAGATTTCTTTCTGAGACTCCGCTTCCTTTCACTGGCAAGTCCACCTCAGCTGTACTTACCTCAGCTCACTTGGTTTCTCTAATCAAGGACATCCCACTGTCTCCAGATGATTTGCTTGTCAGTTTCGATGTAGGCTCTCTGTTCACCAATGTACCTGTACTTGACACCACTGCAATCATTGAAGACTTGGTCCAACAAGGACTGAATCCAGATGTGCCATCTTTGGTAAGGCACTGCCTTACCGACACATACTTCACCTGGAATGGCACATTCTACAAACAAAATGAGGGTACCCCAATGGGTTCTCCCTTATCGCCAGTGGTAGCGAATGTTTTTACGTGGAAATTTGAGACAGATGCCATCCAGACATCCACCCTACGCCCTTCCTTGTGGAAGAGATACGTGGATGACACGTTCGTCATCTGGCCACATGGCCTGCCACCACTGAACCAATTTCTCAACCACATCAATCCCATACACCCGTCTATCAAATTCACCATGGAAGTGGAAAATGATGGCAAGCTGCCATCCCTGGATGTTTTGATTGAGAAGAGACCCGATGGCTCGTTGGGACACTCGGTCTACAGGAAAGCCACCCACACGGATGCCTATCGAAAGCCTGACTCCCACCACCATCCAGCCCAGAAGAACTCCCTCATCAAAACACTACACCATAGGGCCCGTAGCATCTCCTACCAGCACCACCTAGCCAGTGAGTTGGAGCACGTACACCAAGCCCTCAGGATGAACGGATGCTCGGACCGTACAATCCGCAAAGCTGCCTCCCCCAGCCATGGGGAGACATCCATCTGAGGATCCAACCAAAACCATCACTTTACCATACAGAGCAGGGGTTACCAAAAAGATTTCCAAAATCTTAAACAAACACAAGATCCAGGTTCGTTTCAACACGGTACAAAAATCCGTGATTTAATCCCATCTGTAAAGGATGTGATTCCTGACATGCAATACCCTGGTGTCTACAAACTGAGTTGTGGTTGCAGCAGCAGTTACATTGGGGAAACGAAACGACATGTCTCGGACCGCGTTCGTGAACACAAGGCGGATCTGAAACACGGTAGGACCAATACCTCTGCCGTTGCCGATCATTGTTGTAACGCTGGGGGCTCGCACGAAATTGATTTTTCCAAAACGGAGGTACTCTGCAAACCTACCGGCTACCTTCAGAGATTTGTTCATGAAGCCATCCAGATATATAAACACAGACACAACTCCAACCGAAAGGATGGGTACAAACTGAGCAATCATTGGAAGGACGTTATTAACCAGGTAAAGTCTTAACTGACTGTGATGTTTCCATGCTACCTGCCTATGTCAGCTGTTATTTCCGACTCTCTGTCTCTCTCTCTCTATGCCTCTCTCTTAGATCGCTCATAATCACACGTCACTAGGATTACACTCTCATGCTCACATGTCACTAGGATTACACTCTCATACTCACATGTCACTAGGATTACACTCTCATACTCACATGTCACTAGGATTACACTCTCATACTCACATGTCACTAGGATTACACTCTCATACATGTCACTAGGATTACACTCTCATACTTACATGTCACTAGGATTACACTCTCATGCTCACATGTCACTAGGATTACACTCTCATACTCACATGTCCTTTGGATTACACTCTCATACTCACATGTCACTAGGATTACACTCTCATACTCACATGTCACTAGGATTACACTCTCATGCTCACATGTCATTTGGATTACACTCTCATGCTCACATGTCACTAGGATTACACTCTCATACTCACATGTCACTAGGATTACACTCTCATACTCACATGTCACTAGGATTACACTCTCATGCTCACATGTCACTAGGATTACACTCTCATGCTCACATGTCCTTTGGATTACACTCTCACACTCACATGTCACTAGGATTACACTCCCATACTCACATGTC